CAGAAATGCAAACCACAGGTCCTGTCCCAGACCCATTGTACTTGACCCTACAGCTTTAGAAGTTCCACAGTGATTTGTAAGCACGTTTCAGTTTGGGAACCATGGTCCCACTCCAATCCCAGAAGCGCAACTGCTGGCACGAGCAAATGAATGATTGTGTTTTCCTGAGAAACAAAGTGCAGCATATGGGCATTCTCCTGTAAATAGAAAATTAGATTGGAACAAAGAATTAAGGGGAAAACAGGAAGAGGTATTTTACAGGCCCACCAAGAAATCCCGGGAGAATTTTCTAGCAATGTATGTGTTTCAAGGAAGGAGCAGTGCCTACATTCCGGACCTTGTACTTTTTCAGAAAGCCTACTCCTGGCTGAGAGGGAAGAGCCAAATGCTGGCAGAACGGTAGCCCCAGTAGGCCCTGTGGGATGCTTGGTGGGCCCCTTCCACTTAGCCCAGTGGATGACCTAGAGAAATTATCTAGAGACGGAGGACTCTTGGGCACGTTTCTTAACTCTAGGATCTCAGAAGTAAAATGAGATCATAAGACACTTCTTCATGAATTGCTGTATGAAGTGAGACAATACTCACAGAGCAGTTAGCACAGAGCCTGACACAGCACGTTTAATACTGGTAGCAACAGTTGCTACTATTGTATTTTGGCTGTTACACCTGGCTCTTGCTGTCTTGCCTTCCGACCTGTGCTACACTTATGCAGCCTAGATCTAAAATGACCATGCATGGTCCACATAGCAATGGGTGCCTCTTACTGGAGCAAGACTGCTACTTCAAAATCTGGTGTTCTTACAATCAAGTTTAGAGGCCTGGAGAGGCTTGATTATGTTTCTAATTAATCTTGGCCTAAAATGAATCATTCCAAGGAAAGTAGGGGTGAGGTTAAGGGTGGGGTAAGTACAGGAGTAGTGGTGGGAGTGAGTTGGAATGAAAAATCACCCCTGACTCAGCCAGACTCATAGTTCTGCCTCTCTGAAGTAGTGCTTAACCTGAAGCACCCCCCTGGGTACTCCACTGCAAACTGGGCTTCTGCTTGGCTGTGGTGGCTCCCCTGTCCCAGTTAAGCTCCCGCCCTATGCACTACATTTCAGTAGCCTAGTTTAGCCCAATCCTCTCAAGCAGATAGAGAGAAGTGTTTTCAATTAGCAAGATCTCATTGCTGAGGGCACTAAGACAGCTCTTTTGGAGCAGGGAAACTAATTGACTGCACGTTGGGTATTTTACTGCCGGAGGAAGTGCCTCTCTATGGTTTTAGTGCTGCCACGCTCACTGGCCTGGGACCCATCCAGCCATGAGATCATCATTTAAGGACACCTCGTCCAGTTTCCCTCCAGACATGTAAATTCCCCCTGCAAGAGCCCTGGCAGTGGCCATCCACCCTTCCCTGCACACCCCACTGGGCACCATCACTGCCTTTTGAGGCAGCTCATTCCTTGATTGGACACCTCTGACTATCAGAAAGTTAGAACTTTCTTTTCATAGTGAGTACCACTTTGGGCCTAACACTAAAGGAGAAGCTAATGTGTAATGCAAAGTACTGGGAGAAGAACATTCCCTGAGCGCCAAGCACCTGGTGCTTTGGTGGGACAAAAATGAGCAGTAGGATGTTACTAGGAGGGTCCTACCCATTAGTAGGAGGGTTCTAATGGGTGATAGTTGTAGTTTGATTTAAGTTTAAAAACAGCACGTTGGCTATGGTTTGCAGGGTGCAAAGGGGCTGAGGGAGAGCCAAGGAGGTCCTATCACAGTATTTCAATTAAAGCTGTGACAATGAATTTTAGTTGTGTCTAGAGGCAAAAACACCAGGACTTGGATATTGTGGGTAAAGGAAAATTGGTCATCTTTTTATCCCCTGGGATCTGAAAAAAGACATTAAAGAGAAAACTGTGTGTGGGGAAGGAGGAGGGACCAGTTGTACTTGTCCACGAGTGAGAAATGGGGACCATTGTCCCTGGAAGAGAGTCCCTTTTTCACCTGCAGGTACTTACATGAAGGTTGTCATAAGGATGTAACAGACTATGCCGCCAAAGGTATATAGTTTCGACTCGTTTTTAATGAATGGATGAGTCAATAGGGAAGAGACAAAACCAAAGTCACAGCGTGAATGAGTGGTAGAGTCAAGAGTAGAATCATGTTTTCCTAGTTTCCAGGCTAATGCTCTTTCCACTGTCTGAGTCTAAGTAAGGGTTCTTGGATGGGGGTATTAACGAGCATAACAATAAGAAATGAGAGGCAGTCAACAGGATTCTAGGGCTTCAGTCATTTGGTAGGTAAGGACTAGGAGATTGTAGGAATGATTTTTCCTCTCTGTTTCACTTTTTCTCCAAGCGTTCCCATGGCTTCCCATTGTCGAAGGGTGAGAATGAACTCTACACTCACCACCGGCACAGCGCCTGCAAGGCATTGTATTAGGTGCTCACTGAACACGTGAATAGATGTGTCAGAACCTGTGAGCTAATTCAAAGGCATTTTCTATGAAATCACATCTACTGATTAACATTAAGTGCTTGTCTCATTTGGGCTGGAATTTTATCAATGGGCTATTCAGATCAGGGATCAGACAGTCTCTCTCTATTCTACAGTGGTTGGAACCCAATTCAAGAGTAATATTCCTCAGGTTTTACATTTTGAGGACTTTAGAAAATTGGACGGTGAAGGAACTTCGAATAATTTTAAATTCTGTTAAAAGATCTGGGGATATTGAACCTGGAATAGATCATAGCAGAGTTTGATATGCAAAAGGAAATCTTGTAGAGATTGTCTGATTTGGGGGGATCCCAGAATTTACTTCAATTCTCAGGAAGAAAGATTTTGGTCCAGGGTAAGGGGAAGAAGCACAGCAAATGCACTAAGTTTCTTAGAGTCATAGAGAGGAAGTAAATTGGCTGACACATGTATTCTTGCCCAGAATGCTGTTAAAGTTGGTCCTTGGTATTATACTTTCTCAGTGACTTTCCATCCTGCCATACTAAGAATTTCTGGAAAGTTAACATTCATTTATTCATCACCTACTCTGTGTCAGGCTCAGGGCAGAGTAGACGTTCATGAATAAAACATGCCAAGTTTCCACTTTTGCGTTTCTAATCCAATAGAGTAAATGAGATTGCCCACTTGTTCATTTGTTCTCCTACAATTTTTGGAGGCCTCTTGATTTATATCATGGACCCTTATTTTTTTTTATTCTTTTAAAAATAATTTTATTGGGGGCTCATACAACTCTTATCACAATCCATCCATCCATCCATCCATCCATTGTGTCAAGTACATTTGTTGCCATAGCATTCTTAAAACATTTTCTTTCTACTTGAGCCCTTGGTATCAGCTCCTCATTTTTCTGCTCCTTCCCCACTCCCCATCCCTCATGAACCCTTGATAATTTATAAGTTATTATTACATTTTTATGTCTTACACTGTCTGACGTCTCTCTTCACCCACTTTTCTGTTGTCTGTCCCCCAGGGAGGGGGTTACATGTAGGTCCTTGTGATCGGTTCCCCATTTCTACCCTACCTTCCCCTTACCTCCTGGTATCACTACTCTCATTATTGGTCCTGAGGGGTTTATCTGTCTTGGATTCCCTGTGTTTCCAGTTCTTATCTGTATCAGTTTACATCCTTTGGTCTATCCGGATTTGTAAGGTAGAATTGGGATCATGATAGTCGGGGAGTGGGGGGGAGGAGCATTAAAGACCTAGAGGAAAGTTGTATGTTTCATCGGTGCTATACTGCACCCTGATTGGCTTGTCTCCTCCCCACCACTCTTCTGTAAGGGCGTGTCCAGTTGCCTACAGATGTGCTTTGGTCTCCACTCCGCACTCCCCCTCATTCACAATGTTATGATATTTTGTTCTTTGATGCCTGATACCTGATCCCTTTGACACCTCATGATCACACAGGCTGGTGTGCTTCTTCCATGTGGTCTTTGTTGCTTCTCAGCTAGATGGCTGCTTGTTTATCTTCAAGTCTTTAAGACCCCAGACCCCAGACGCTATGCTTTTGATAGATGGGCACCATCAGCTTTCTTCACCACATTTGCTTATGCACCCGCTTTGTCTTCAGCGATCATGTTGGGAAGGTGAGCATCATGGAATGCCAGTTTAATAGAATAAAGTGTTCTTGCATTGAGGGAGTAATTGAGTGGAGGCCCAATGTCCATCTGCTACCTTAATACTATACCTATAAATATATGCACATAGATCTATTTCCCCAACATTATATATAAATATATTTACATATGTACATGCCTATATTTACACCTCCATAAATGCCCTTTACCTCCTCGTTCTTTCCTCTATTTCCTTTTGATTTTGGACCCTTCTTAATGGTACAAAACACTTTAAGTCATTACTGTTCTTTAAAGTCAAATCCAGTGCCAAATGGATACCCAGAAAACTGCAGCGAGGATGTTATGGTAGAAATCAAGGGAAGCTATAACTTTTGTTTTCCCAACTGAGCTTACTTGTTTAAAAGCCAGCTGGCCTCCTGGGTCCCAGTGCCACCTTTTTATTTCCTACAAATGAAGTCCCTCTCCGCCCTGTTCCTTCTCTGCATGTCTGTACCAAGAGCAGCCTCCGTGTACAAGTCGCTTTCAGTGACACTGATAGTGGATGTTGTTCCAACCATAAACTGGGTGGGAGCCAGGGGACTCGTTTAGAGGGTGAGTCATCATACTGCCTTTGAGAATATGGACAATAAGCATATGAAGACTTCGAAGGCGAGGCTTTCTTCCTTGGCTCTGTTTTCCTGACTGGGTGAAGGAGACAGCCAAATCCAACTAGAAATAAAGAGGTGGACTCCACATTCCTTGTGTGCATGGTGTGGTTACCAAAAAGTTTCACTGCTTTTTGCTGAGTGCTTCATGTTTCATCCTGAGCACATTTGAGATCTGTCCCCACGGTAAGGAGTTAATGGCTGGACATATCACCTAGGGAGAGCAGAGAGTCCTGTGTGTCTTTTAGCCCTAATCATCATCTATTTCCAGCCCCCCCGCCCCTCGGGGGAGAGTGGGAACCCAGTCCCCCACTACCACAAATTATGCCGTCGAGTTTCCGGCATTTGGGGAAATCGCAGGGGTGAGCACAGCCGCCGTGCAGTGGATGAGCTTCACCCTGGGAAAACCACCTTCCCATCCGCCTCTATTTCTTAAGCGGGTGAGCTTCACCCTGGGAAAACCACCTTCCCATCCGCCTCTATTTCTTAAGCGGATTCCTTCATCTTCCCCTTTTCCTTCTCTTGGCCTTTTTCAATTTCCTCCTTGTGTCATTTCAATCGATAAAGAGAGCCTGATTGTATACTGAGATTCTTTAAATCCCTTCTAGGCAGTTCTCATCATATCCCTTAAATGGTTGGCGATCCCTTATTGGGGTTTGCTAACTCTGAACCCAGAAAACTTACTTACCTAACTTACCTTTTTTTCAGAATGGCAAGCTCCAAGTTACCCCTTTTTTTCTGTCCTCAGAAAAGCGCTGACTGGCCTTTTGTAAGGGACACTCACTCAATGAATGCACTTATCTTTGGGCACAGTGCTTGGACTTCATGAATAAAACAAGCAAAATATAGGATCTTATTTTATACTACAATATCATAGGTTAAAAATGCAAAGTGTTTGTTTTGACAGTAGCACATAAAACAGGTAATCCACTTCATTCATTTGTCCTCCAATATTTGTTGGGTGTCCTGGTAGTCTAGTGTTGAGCTGCTAACTGTAACATCAGCCATTCAAAACCACCCGCCACTCTTCGGGGGTCAGGTGGGGAGAATGGGTCTCTCTGCTCCCATAAAGAGTGACAGACTCAGACACTCACAGGGGCCTATCCACCCTGTCCTATAGGGCTACTCTGCGTCAGCCTCCACTCAGTGGCAGTGAGTTTCGTTTGGAATTTAGGGCAGCATGGTGGAAGGCAGACAGGCTCCGGAGTCAGAACAATTGAAATGTCAGCTTCATAAGTTTCCCTGTAAGTAGACACATTTAAACAGTACTAGGCCTCTAAGCTTCTGTTTCTTAATCGGTATAATAGAGTTAAAAGCAATACCTGTCTCAAAGAGGGATGAATGAAATAAGATATAGCCCATGTTTGGTGCAGAGTACACATGTGATTCATGCTATATACATTAACAAGCCATATGGACCAAGGATATAGGTACCTTTTTGTCATGGATCCTGGAGTAAGGGAGTTGGAGCAAAGGCTAAGGAAATACAGCCTCTAAGTACAATTTGAAGACAGTGTTACTAATTTTAAGTCTCTTTTCTCTAAATATTTGCTTGTTTATCTTTACTTCCATCTTTGCACTGCCCTAGGTCTTTTCATAGCTATTGAGCCCCATCTGTTCTCATTTATATTCGGCTGCTATTTGGAATATAAGTGTTAATTATCTCCTTAACACCTCACTGCTACTAATTCTGAGCACTCGGTGTTCTTGGTTTCCCTGGTTCACCATCTGCCCAGGGTCCCACACCACTTGTCTCCATGTTCTCGTCTGCTGTTTTGGTGGTTCTTAACGTTCCTTTGAAAGAATATATTTAAAACAATCTCCTCCATTACTTTTTACCCACATAGAATTTTCTAATTGCAAAGTCATTCTCATTATAAAAATTAGGAAAAAAGACTATGTTATATATGTAAACATATTTCCTTCTACTCTGTTTTCCCTGGGATCTTATGTATATTTTTTAAATTCTGAAACCTGACATGCATAAGATGGGAGGTTTTTATCTACAAGTAACAAAATCACCAACTTAAACTATTTAGAGGAAATAGCTTAACTAAAAAATTCAGAGACAGAGAGAGGGAGGGAGAGAGTAAAATTTCGGGTTACTTGTGTCCAGAGATTCTGCTGTTGTCTACAATTATTACAGCTCTATTATTTTCTGTTTTAATTTAACAACCTGTGAGGGACATATCTTAAGCCATTTTAGGCATTACCTCTATATACAAAACATATGGGAAAAGGGGATTCCCTTAAGTGTAGAAAGCTTTCCTAGAAACTCCCAAGCAAGCTTCCTTTTGCATCTTCTTGACCTTAAGTGGGTAATTTACTCATTTTGAACCAATATTGAAAATAAAGATGGGCCTATCAGAATTGTCCTAGACCAATGGTTTGGCTGTGCATCAGAAATCCTTAGGGACTTATTAAAACACAGATCACTGGGGTCCATTCCTGAAGAATTTGATTCAGTAGGTAAAGATCTTGCCCAATAATCTGCATGCTTAACAAGTTTTTTTCAAGCTGAGACTGCTTGGTGCAGAGATCATACTTTGAGAATCACTGGTTTAGACAAATCAAAGGTTTGCTTTGACACAGGTTCAATATCCCCAAATATTTTCGAGCCATGTAAAGCAGGCAGGATGACCCAGAAGGCAGGGAGAAAATCAAGGTGTCTACTACATCGTGTGTATATAATTTTGTATATACTTTCCACATATCATAAAAAACTTCAAATGCCTGGCTTTGATTGGTAATAAACCATAGTACACTTTATTATGTACTATTATTCAACTAATCTTCTATTAGGAGCCCTGGTGATATAATCCATATGGTTGGAAGTTCGAAACCACCAGCAGGTCCTCCAGAGAAAGACTGGGCTGTCTCCTCCTATAAACAGTTACAGTCAGAAAACCCTAGGGTGCTGTTACGAGGCAGCATTGACTCAACGCAGGGAGTTTGGTTTCTTTGCTTGAGTCTTCTATTGTTGGGTATTGAAGGTTTTAGTATATTGCTGTTATAAATTGCACAGTAAGTAATGTCAATACACAAAAACATTTGTGTGGCCCTCTGATTATTACCTAAGGATATATTCCTAGAAGTAGAATTACTCTTTAAGCTATTCTTATCTCACTGACTCATGACGCCCACCCCCACTCTCGCCCTCGGGAATAAATGTTCCATTTTTGTACTGGCTTGCTTAAAGGGCCAGGCTTTTATATCCTGTTTCCATTGAGGGGATCATTTCACAGAACAAAGCCCCTTGGGGTCAAAACAGGGAGGAGGGCAGACAGTGCACTGAGTGGAAACAGCAGGAGGGCAGAACTGGCCTAGACATGTGAGTTCAGTGTCTAAGCGCAGAGTGAGTTATCAGGTGTGAGGACTGAGAGAGTGGCAGAAAATGAAGTTCCAAAGGAGACTTGGGACTGTATGGATTTGATTTTTTTCCCTTTTGAGTATAATTTCTGAACTTCATTCATTTGTAATACCACTTTTATACTTTTTTTGGGTCATATTTATGTGCCATCTGTAGTGTAATAATACATTCCTTTAGTCGCTCAATTAGTTAAATTAATTTATTTTAAAAGAATCTCTGTATCACTAAGGTTAATAGAAACTCATTATTAGTTGCCACAAATAGAAGATAATCACTCACTAATATAATAGTAATGTTGTTAACTTCCAACTCAGCATTGTTGGCTGGTCTAGGCACTGACCCTGTAGTCAGCTCTGTCTTTGTTACTACAGAAATGAGCGTGTATTAAGAGGATCAGATCCAAATAGAACTATTTTCTTGACATCAGCAGAAAGATTAACAGTGTTATTGAAAAGGACCTAACATTCTCTTGGTATGAGTGAATGCTATTGAGTGTCCAATTTTACACTCCCTAAAGTCACCAACGTCCCACTCATAGGGCACAATAAGCTAATTTGACTCAAAACGCAGAACTGCATGAAGAGCTTGTAAAATGCACCCATGGAACCAGAATCTCTGGGAGTGGTATGGGTGGGGCCAAGAAACATGAATTTTACCAAGATAATTACTGAGGTGCTTCTCATGCTC